GGAAACCCATTTGATTTAAAAAAAAAAAACACTGTTAAAATATGAATTGGAAGATAGCTCTTTAACAAATCTTTAATAGATTTCTATCAGTCTATGTATATCATTTAACCCCAAAATTAACATTATTCTGTAAAGAGAAAATACTAGATGACTTTTTCATTGTATCAGTAATGAGCAACAACTATCATTGTTATTTAGCATGGTAACATGGTTCTAGAATTCCTACATGTATGTATTTATATATAATAGTGTATGTATATTGATTTGTATATATGTAATACAGAGGGCTAAATCCACTTTATAAAATATAAGGCTAATATGTTAATAAATATTAAGAGTTAAGGGGTTGGGGTTGTGACTCAGTGGTAGAGCACTTGCCTGGCACATATGAGGTACTGGGTTTGATTCTCAGCACCACATAAAATAAAGGTATTTTTAAAAAAAGAATTAAGACTATGTAAGTATAAAAACTTCTTACATATAAATATAAAGATTTCTAAATGTAGTTGAGCTCCTATAAATCAATATAATAAAAGAAAATGGACAGGACAAAAAAATTCAATGAGAAAATTCAGGGAACTGATAAATATTTGAAAAAATATTAAATCTTACTGATTAAAAAGAAATAGAGGGCTGGGGTTGTGGCTCGGCCGTAGAGCACTTGCCTAGCATGTGGGAGGCACAAGGTTCAATCCTCAGCACCACATAAAAATAAATAAATAAAACTATTGTGTCCAACTACAACTAAAAAAAGTTTTAAAAAAAAGAAATGGAAAATAAGTCAAGGAATAGTTCGTCAATTAAATAAGCAAATATTAAACAGTTTGGTAATGCATTATTAACTGGAGAGGTGATTAAACTAGTACTCATATAGTTTTTTTTTTTTTTAAGATGTTGATGGGTCTTTATTTTTTTCATTTATTTATATATAGTGCTGAGACTTGAACCCAGTGCCTTGCACATGCTAGGCAAGCGCTCTATCACTGAACCACAACCCTAGCCCTAATACTCATATCTTATAAGAGTATAAATTACAGTGCAATAACAGTATAGCAGTTCTACTTTCAGAAATTCATTCTGTATATGTATTTACACATGTATGGGAGCTTTTATGTACAGTTACAACATTGTTTGTAATAGTAACTGATGGAAATAATGCAAATGCATCTCTGCAGGGAATTAATAAGTTGGATGAATGTATTATGGCATATCCATATAAAATACTGTGGAGCTATCTATAATACATTGTTAATGGTAAAAGCAAAGTGTAAAATAGGATGCATAGTATATTTATTTCTCCATCTTGAAAGAAAAAGATGAACCTAAAATTTGTACCCAATCAGTTAGTAATATTGAGTGCAGAGGGAAACAGTAACAGAAGTTGATCTGGAAGGGTAACTAACTTACCCTCCTCTCTGTGCCCATTTGTCCCTTTTAGACTACTGTACCAGAAGCTTCTATTGCCCATTTGCTTATTTATTGGTGTTGGGGATTGAATATTCGTTAATTAAAATCAAATGCATATTGGTCCATATTTTTAAAAAATAATCTTAATTTCTATGAACATGTAGATGATATTCTAGTGAATGACATATTGAAATGTGAAAATTAATTCTAGGTGGATGGCAAATCAAAATGTGGAAAGTAAAACAGTTAAAGCTTTTGGAAGAAATAGAAGATCTTTCATGACCTTGGAATAAACAAAATATATATATATATATATATATATATATATATATATATATATATAAAATATGTTATATATACATATATATATCTACCAACAAATCGGACTACGTTAAGAACTGTTGTTCATTAAAAGTCACAATTATTATGAATGTAATGCACTCCACTATTGTCATGTATATAAGAAATAATAATAATTTTAAAAAGACACAATTAAAGTAAAAAAGCAAGACACTGCAGAATATATTTGAAAGCCATATATCTAAGAAAGACTCATAACCAAACAAAGTAAGCAAAGTAAGCAAAAAGCAATCTAATAGAAAAATAGGCTAACGACTTGGAACAGGCACTTCACAAAATAGGCTATCCAAATGGCCAGTAAATATATGAAGAGGTGTTCAACATCATTAGTCATCAGGGAAATAAAAATTTAAACCACAATGCAATACCACTACACACCCACCAGAATGGATAAAATAAAAAGACTGACATTTTTTAGCATTGTTGAAGATGTGGAGCAACCTGAACTCACATAGTCATGGTGGGAAAAGTAAACTGGCACAACCAATGGAATATTGGTTTTTGGTACCTGCTAAGGCTGAGGATATTATTGCTTATAACTCAGAATTTCCACTTCCTAAATATATACCCCACAGAAATGAGGGCAGAGGATCACCAAAAGATCCCTACTAGAATGTTCATAGCAGTTTTATTAGAAATAAGCCCCAAACTGAAAATGAATAAAACATAATGTACAACAGCATGGAAAATAAATGGTGATAAACTCATGCAATGGAATGTTACACTGCAATGAGTATATGTTGCCTGCAGATACACAGCAGTGAGAGTGAAGCTCACAAGCACAAGGTTGGGCAAAAGAAGCCTCCTAAGATCCATTCACATGTGCTATGGTAATAGTCCAAACAAACCTGTGATGTTTAAAGTCAGAATAGCCATTTTCTTGGTGCAAGGGAAAGACTGGAAGAAAAAAAGGCTTCTGGGGTGCTGGTAATATTCTTTTTGTTGATTCAATTCCTGAATTCACAGGTGTATTCATTTGTTAAAACAAATCACATGCTCTTAATGACTAGTCTGCTGTATTATGTGTATGTTACACCCAATAAAAAGTTTTTTAAAAGGAATGGATCTGAAGATTTTCTAAAAGTAGAGGTACATGCAAGATAATGGTAATAGTTGTATATTTTATTATCAGTTTTCTCTGATCTTGTTTGATTGTGTTATTAGCTAAAAAATTACCCTTTTACTTGATTTTTAAAACCATTTCCTTGCCCTTATTCATGTAAAATGAATAGGGTAGCTTTGCCCTTCTAGCCTCTCATACATTCCAAGCTCTTGGGAAAGACTTAAAATAGTGTAATATTTCCTAATCTGATTGAGGGCCAGTAGAAAGGAGGTAAAGTCATGACCAAAAGGCCAGGCTAAGGATGAATAGAAGAGGTGTGAATGTGTCCATCAATTCTGAGTGGGTTGGCTCAGTGCAATAAATGTGGAAGAGAGGCAGAAGTGGGACAGCTGGCTGCCACACCAGGGTACCGTCACACGTGATGCCCACACTCCAGCCCCTTCCATATCTCATTTCAGCAGACCCACCAATACTGCTTAATTATTTCCAATAACCTTCGACACTTTTATATCACTCACTCATTTTTAAATTGACACCCAAAGATTTTCAGCATGTTTATTTTTGTAAAGAGTAAGTAGAAATTATTGAATATTTTATTAAATGAAAATGAAGATTAAGCGTAAGTAGTCAGTCTCTCATAAGATTTGGTAATAGTTATTAAGTACCTTGTGAATTAAAGCACAATCAATCTGAAATAAATAAATAAAATTTTAAGCCTCTTCATTATATTGATCATTTGGTAGTTGTATAGAATATTCCAGTTTTACCCTGCCTCTCCTATAAAGCCTCTTCAGATGTCCTGAATTCAGAGCACCTCAATTCAGGCCCCACACCCAATATCTAATGGCAGATTTCATCTATATCACAATCTGTGTAAGACAGAGGACAGGAAATGCTAGGAGTTTAATCATTGATATATAAATTATGCTTCGCTTCTCAAAAGTCTTTGATACCCCACAGCACGGAAGATTTAGGGTTGCAATGACAACAAGCTCAGACTCTTAGATAAGTAAGTTTTAGAAAAGATCCCATGTGAAAGTTGAGGAACTGGAAATTTTTTCTTTAAAGTTGTCTGTGAATGTTTATTTCTTAGAAAGTCTTTGCTTGAAGTTTGAAAACTGCTGTGATAGATATTTGAACAAGGAGCCAAAATAAACAATGTGCTGGCCCCTTTGGCTTTACATATAAATAGTCAAGGAAGCTAGCTGGTGAAAGGTTACATTCAACCTGTGGCTTCCATGTTTTTGATGGAAAGATGAGTGGCTTTATTTTTGATATGCCATTTTTTTCCAGTTGAAATTATTTATATAAGTGAAACAAATTCATTGAAGCAAAAAGTATGCTTTTGTATATTTGAATTTTAATTCTCTCTCTCTCTCTCTTTTTTTGTTAGATAGACACATTTATTTATTTTTATGTGGTACTAAGGCTTGAACCCAGTGCCTCATACATGCTAGGCAAGCACTCTACCACTGAGCTACAACCGTAGCCCCTAGTTGACAATTCTTATTTAATTCTCCTTTTTTTTTATAGTCATGAAGCTTTCCTCCAAAATGCTAAATGTTTTTAAATCATTCATTACAAACCACTCTGCAGTTATGTACTGAATGAATACTTACATTTTACCTGAATTGCTATAGAAGAGCAAGTATCAAATGCCCATAAAAGATATTGAGTCATTTTTAAATACATATTTCTAATCATGTGTTAAAATAACAAATTCGGGTATTTTAGTTTAATTCCATAAAATGGAACCAGGAAAACATCTGGTTTCACAAATGAAGTGATAATCATCAGAATGAATGGATCAATTCTCATGGGGCCCACACATACTGCATAGGAAAAATAGCACATTTCTGTTCCCTGTTTTTCCCAAAAAGAAGGCTACCTCTAATCTCACTGTTGCCTCAAACCTTCACAAACAACTGTGCCAGTGACACAAGAAATTCACTTTGTAATGGGTTATATTCTTGTGTAGTACATTTGTGAAACTGAAGTTGGCTTTTATACTGTGACAGGCATGTAAATGGCGTTATATCAGTGATCTCTGTACAATTGATTCCTTCTTTTCCCTTTTCATTATAAAAGGAAACTTTATTTCAGAGTAGAAAGTGCATTGTCTGAACTCATCAACACCCTCTCTATCCCTCCCCTCCCCAATTTGTTGCAGACCAGGATGAAAGAGCAGCTGAGCTCAGCAGGGAGCAGAATGAGAAAACCATCCGGAGCACTCAGACTGCGCTCCGCAATTTCCGTGAGTTCCTCATCTCCAAGTACCCTTCTGAAACAAGAGAGATTTATGTCATCCCTTGCAAGGAGTTGGATGCCTACCTTGCCTCTTTCTTTGTTGATGCCAGGCAGAAGGATGGGTCTGAGTATGAACCCAACAGCTTGGCGAATTACCAGTGTGGGCTGGAACGGTACTTAAAAGAACACAGATATGGCTACAGTATCACCAGGGATAAAGAATTCAAGCGTTCCCAGGAGGCCCTCAAACAGAAGCAGATTGAACTCCGCTGCAAAGGAAAAGGAAATAAGCCACACAAGTCCATGAAGCTCACCTTTGCTGATGAGCTCATACTGCGGAAAAGAGGACTGCTAAGCCGATATAACCCTGAGGGTCTCCTCAACCTGGTCTGGCTTAATAATACAAAAGCTTTTGGTCACTGCACAGGCTTCCATGGATCTACCTTGAAATGGGGTGATATCCGGCTCCGAGTAACAGAAACAGGACTGGAGTACTTGGAGTGGATGGGTCAAGACACTGGTGATCTGAATGCCAAAACCAAGAGAGGGGGAACAGATTCGCGGGTGTATGCCACCCAGCATGCCCCACAGACCTGCCCTGTACAGGACTATAAAGAGTATGCCCAGAGGCGGCCCCCTGCCATGCGCTACGAGGATGCCCCTTTCTACTTGTCCATCAAGCCAGTTGTGAACTTGGCGGCTCTACATTGGTACAACTGCCAGGCCCTTGGCAAGAATAAGCTGGCCAAGATGGTGAAGACCATGTGTGAGAAGGGCAACATCCCCGGGCGGAAAACCAACTTCAGTGTGTATCAGAGCTGCAGCACCTTGTCTGAGGCCCAGAGCAACCAGCTGGTGCTTATCTGTAACAACCTCAGCCAGCAGGCCGCCCAGTCAGTGGCTGGGCATTCCAACAGCGGCAATTTCATCGTCTCTGCCTCTTATGACTCTTCCTCAGACACTGCTTGACCCAGGTGGCCTCAAGACCCCAATTTGGTTTCTGTGTCCCAAGAGACTGATTATACACTGTTTCTCATTCCCTTTCCTCTGCCCTCAGTGTTAACTTTATAAAAATATAAATATATAATATATTTTTCTTTTTACAAATAAGCCAATGGAGATAGTTTAGTATTCCTAACATAGTATTTATAGGCTTAAGACAAATAAATGTACTTGTGGGTGATTACATGTAATTACTGTTACAGACTTTACAAAACCATAGTGGTTCTCAGGCAGTACTGAGTAGAGAAAGAATTCCGTTTTAAAAAAAACTGTTAGAAACGGTCATCATAGACACTGTGTCCTTAACTCCTGCTTTTTCTTCTTACCCATCTCTCACTTTTATTAGTCTCCTTCAGAAATGACTTTATATTTTTAATTCTTAAAATTCTGTATTAATCATGGAGAAGAGAACACTAACTTTACTGCTCACACAATGTATTCAGCCAGATAGAATGTGAGTGGTATAAACCTGACATCAAATTATTTACCCATTCTTTTTTAACTTAATTAGAATTTTAGGTCCTGTGCCTCATTTTTTTACAGTGTAGGAAAATGCACATATTTAACTTTTCTTAGGGGTAAAAGGGAGTAAAAGAAGGAATAAAGGTGCCATTCTTTTTGGAAGATATGTAATTTTTAAATAATATGCAAACTAATATTGTGGCAAAAAAAAAAAAAAAAAGACTGTTACATAGCTCATTTTTACTGGTTTGCTTGAACACAGTTAGAAATTTTTTTGGCCCTAAGAAATTAGTATAAATGAAGTTTGATTATCAGATTTACAAGAAACTTAGAACTACCAAAAGTTTGAAAATTATCCCAGGCATGAGATTGTATATCAAACATGAAGAGAAGGAAGAAAACACAAGTCTTAATAAAAATCTAAAAGTACTAGTCAAGATAACAACAACAATAAACCTCATCCTCTTCAAAGCTCAAATCTCATGAATTATTTATTTATAAGTATTAAACTTCAGTCTCTGCAGTTGAGATCAAAGGAATATTGACACTCATTTTAAGTAACAATGTTTTATTACTAGGTTTAGCAGATTCAAAGCATTCTTGAAAATGTAGAAGTTTCTTCTACAGTAAATATAAATATCTGTAATATCTTGCAATAATTGTAACAACAATAATAATTTTGGCCAAAATTTTTTTTTATGTTTTTTTCCCAAGGTCTCTGTTTTCAAGTTTTGAAAGCTGGATGTGATGAATTATTAGTTAAGATGCTTCAGAAAATAAACTAAAGTGTAGACATTAGAACCACAATAAAGGTGAGCTAGGTTCCTCTTCTGTATAATCATTAGCATACTTCCAAATCTTGGTTGGTTGGATCTGAGCATTCTATTGGGAGGTATTTGTTCTTCAGGGCAACCTCATATTTCACATTATCTAGGAAGGTATGTGGCATTTTATGTGTTAATTTATTGTACAACCAGGACAGATTTCCCTCTGATATTACTTTGCTAAGTTGTCACAGAGCTCAGCTTTCCCTGGTTGGCAGCTTTTTCCAACTCAAAGTCAGAAGTACATAAAGATGCCTTCCTCTGAGCTGTGACCCATATTTGGTGCAGAAGTTGGAAGTCTGCTGTGGCTTTGTGTAGTGGGATTAACTTCATTTTCATGACTATTCCTCCAACCAACGGAGAGGCATCCTTTTGTACATTCAGAAAGAGGAAAAAAGGGAGAGGATATTTCTGTACACGTTATCACATTATTGTAGTCTTTCCAACAACTTTGAAAAGAAAATGAGTTATCTGGGTCCATTTTATGGTGAGATTATAAGTCAGCCAGATCATAGCCAAGGAAGCTGGTGTTGGTCATCTCACTGCAGAGCCACTTCTCATCACCTTTTTCAGTACCAGTTTGTAATTAGTTTTTAGTGATGTGAACCACAAACAGGGACAGTGTCTTTCCATCTATAAAGGCTGTCTCAGTGAGTTTTCATGGCAGCACACTCTGTCCTCTCCCTCCACCCAAGTTCATTTTAAACCAGCACCTCTTTCTCAGTTCTCTTTAGAAAACCTTCCTCCTCTCCTCATTCTAGAACTAGTCTATAAGTGTACAAGACAGCTTACTTTAAGGGAACTCTTTATTAAATAAGGTTATTTTTATATGAGCTTCCTCTCTTCTTTTTAAAAAGGTTTCTATAAAACACTTAATGTTATTGTATTTTACCTTTTTGTGGACATAGTTTCTAAATTCTTGACATGTTTTTGGTGCTGGGGATAGAACTCAGGGCCCCATGTATGGTAGGGCAAGCCCTCTACTACTGAGCTACACTCCCAGCCTCTTGATATGTTTTTAATAGCAAAGTAAGTTTATCTTGAGGAAGAAGGCTAGTCGGAATGCACTGAGAAATCAGAACTAGAAAATGTGTAGTCTTTATTTGTGTTTGTTGAGGTGGTAAAATGAAAATCTGTCCTGCTTAATCGTGTTGCATTTTTATTTAGGCAAACACAATTAAATTGAGAATTATTTTTCATTATATTTTGCAGTGATAATTCAAACCAAATAGGAACATTTTGACATTTAGATTCAGAAAACTGTTTTCTGAAGAATGGCTTAGAGAAAGTGCTAGCCAAATTATAATGTCTCTTTAAGTTGATTAAATTTGGAAACAATGTGCAACTACCTCAGTTTTTTTTTTTTTTTCCTGTTCTGCAGGGGATCAAATTTGGCCTCACACATGCTAGGTAAGCACTCTGCTGCTGAGCTACATCCCCAGCCCCTGTACTTTTATCTAAACAGTACTATGGACATACCACAGCCATATTCCATTTTTATTATTCAGAATTTTAATTAAAAAAAATTCACACTGTGGCAGAGATGGATGCCAAAATTTTACTGTACTCTAGAAAAAATTCAACAGTGCGGATGGTGTTCAATATAACTGAATGTGCTGCCCTCCCTTGGACAGTCCTGATTTATATGGAAACAAAACAATTTTTGCAAAATTTACACTTTTAAGATCAGTGTAGTGTCAGTAAGAAATTCTCTAATGCCATATGACTGGAAGTTTTGCATTGTCTTTAACAAAAAAACTATGAACCTATTATACATCAGCATTAGGATTACAGTGTTACATAATTCAGTCTCTATATTGTTCATTTAAGTGAAAACCATGGATGTTAGCAATTTTTTAAAAAAATCAGGATATTTGAAAAGACTAGAGATGCCTAGGTTATTTATTTAAGACAACTTATTTTTTTAAAAAATACTTTTTTAGTTGCAGATGGACACAATACCTTTATTTTGTTTATTTATTTTTATGTGGTGCTAAGGATTGGTTCCAGTGCCTCACACGTACTAAGCAAGTGCTCTCCCACTGAGCTACCACCACCCGAGCCCCATAAGACAGCTTATTCTTAGGATTCCATTTATTATGGCTATTAGGGCTGGTATGAACATATTTCATAAATATATATCTACTCTTAAAAATATTTATTTTATATTTATTTTCCTTGTTTCTCCACTCTCCTTGTGTTGAGTCACTACCTGATCTACAAAAGAATGGGCTGAAAAGTTCCTGGCAAAGATCAGATCTCTTTGGTTTTTCAGATCATTGTTAAGCTGAAACTTGGTGGCTTTAACTTGTCTAAGTCATGGCTTAGCTGCTTCCTGATTCCATTAAAGCAGTGACTTAACGAGATGAAAATGTATAGTCACATAAGCTAATTTTTTTGGATAGATATCTAGACACTGGGAGTGGTGCAGAGATGTATAAGGTAGTTTCTGCTCTCATAGAATTTATAAAAGACACTGTGATGAAAAGCTCGTTTTTGAGAGCCCAGCAAAAACTTATGTGATGACACTATTTTGGATTTTCTTCCTAACTGTTCTCCTGCAGTTTCTCCATTATTTATTTATTGAGTATGTTGCTTTGCTTTATCTTATATAATACTGCTTTGAATGTCATGTGGGGAATGTTCCTTAGAACTTGTTTTAAAAATCAAGGTGAAGCCATTTCTATTACCATCCATGATTTTCATATAGGTACCCATA